AATCAACAAACACATTCAACACTTCGCAGCACAGTTAGCTGAAGTGTGGTATCATCAACAAGTGTAATGTCCACATAAACGTTTACCGTACTCTCTAGTATTCCATTATTAATATTTAAAAAATAACTGTTTAGACATCACTGTGTATGACTGAAGCTGCCGTGTGTTGATAATCACACAAGAATGAAAACAAAAAATAATAAATAATAATTTGCTAGGTTGGTATCAGAGATACAAATTATTCAGTAAGTTTAAAAATCAAACTATGCTGGGCAAAAAGACGACTACAAACCCAAATTACTGATCATAAACATTTATGCTAATAAATGATTGTTTCTTTAATATGGTAGTATTTATCTTATTTAGTGGTGAACTGAAATTAAGAGCTGTCCACGTTTCATCATGAAAAAATATCAAATTTGCATGGGTAAAGCATACAAAAAAAAAATTTAAAAAAAAAAAAAAAAAGGTGATGATTGGTAGTCCAGGGATCTGGATTTGAAATCATTCTAGATAATGGACGTCCACATTTCCTACTTTTTACAGTACCTATCAATGTCATTTACAAATAAAATCGTCTTTCTTTTCATGAAGCTTTATGTATCATTAGTGTAACTATCACCTAGTTAGATTCTGAGCCAACTTTCATGTTTCACCTTATGTGGCACTCTGTTAAATAGAAAGGTACTGATTTATGTTTGTGAAAAACTTTCAATAATATATTAATTTTTTTATTTTATATGGATAATAACATCACATGCCACTTTTAAGCATCATTCTGTAACATTCAACATTGCCATATGACTTAAAAGTTCTTTCCTGAAAATTTTAAGCTGACAGTCAAATAGCAAAATGCATGTATCACATGCTCCTTCAAATTTTAAGGTACAACTTTAGCTGCTTCCAATTTTTGTGGTTTAATAATTATACACTTGCCAACCTCAGTAAAATGGCTGGTTAGAGTAGAGAGAAGGGTACCCCTTGTACTATCACAAAGTTGTTGTTTCGTTTATCGCCAAGAGTGTGCAATGCCTAGATTGTGCAATTCTCTGTTTTTTTTTTTTTTTTTTTTTTTTTTTTAAAGTCAAAATAGGTCAATGTGTACATGGATAAAGTCAAGGAAATGTACAATGCCAAGTTTGTGAAATTCTGATTTTTTTTTATGTGAAACTAGGTCGATGTGTACATGGATACCCAGTTTGTGCAATTCTTTGTCTTGTTATTTTGGCTTTGCATAGCAGCAAAAATAACAAGTCAAAGAATTGCACAAACTAGGTATCCATATACCGCCAAAAATTGAGAATTTTCGCCAAGGGGTACCCATAAATATATTTTTACCAAACGGCTAAATGTGGTAAGATTAATTTGAAGTCTCTGTATGATTTGGAACAAAAAGGAAAAAAAGTATTAATTCACCGATGTGTAAATGAAGGTTTACACAGTAGCCATTATAAGTGTCCTCTTTGTAGTAAGGAAATGTGTATGGTTGAACATCAAAGGATACATGCACTACAGAGGATATTTTTGACTCTTTATTTTTGTGATTATGTGACGACATCTGTATGCAGATCCTAGTTCATATAATTTTAGGGAGTTTTTGGATGTTGTTAAGGAATTTTGACTGAAGACAGAGAAATTTGCATATCGGGTAAGTGAATTTTTCTTTTGTGTAGTTGCTAAGATGAATTTCTTTTTTTATGTTATTTCGTTGTTTGATTTAAAATGTAGTTTAAACTAAACTCAGTGGCACAACAGCCCTAGTGGGCCAAGGCCAGCAGTGACCCGAAATCTGCTTTCTTGACCGTTGGTCCAGGGATGTGTAAGCATATGCCCTGAACAAGTGGTCAGCTTGTTGCAGGACCCCCAATGTTTAGTCCCCAAGCAAACTTGGTACTCATTTTATCAACCCAAGTGATGGAAATCAAGGGAAGAAAGGCTGAGTCGACCTTGCCCAGTCTGGAGACTGAACCCTGGACCTGTGGTGCTACTGCGAAATGTGCTAGCCACTGTGCCACCGGGCCTAAAAAATGCAGTTTATTGAGATTATATATTTTTTGTTGGCTGCTCCTATGACATTTTAAGTAATTATATATCGAGGTGTACATGGACAAAATCAAGGGAGTGCACAATGCCTAGTTTGCATAATTCTGACTTTTTTTAAGTGAAAATAGGTCGATGTGTACATGGATTCCGAGTTTGTGCAATTCTTTGACTTGTTATTTTGGATTTGTGTAGCAGAGACATAACAAGTCAAAGAATTGCACAAACTCAGCTGTCCATGTGCCACCAATTATCGCCAAGTGACATTCGTAAGTATATTTTTACCAAAAGTTTTATTGCTTGTACCTTCAAATAAGAGAAGACTACTGCAATCAGTTTCCCTAATCATTAAATAATACTTTAACCAGATCACTAATCATTGACTGCAAAACATGAATTAATGTAATTCTGTACTGTAGAATTGTGTTAAGAACATCAAATGACAGCGAAATTGAGCGTACAAAAAAAAGAAAAAAACTTCGTTAAGGTCTGACGACAAAAACATGAATATTCATTCTTCACAAGACAAACTTAACAATAATCGAAAATGTGTCCCTTGTCAACTGATTTTTTTACTTTTGGGAAAGCTTTACGCTTATATTATGCAGTAAAATTTTGAGAATTTCCAATTAAATTGCTCACTGGTACAGAAATTACTTTAATTTTTGGCTCTACTCATATGCGCCCTAATTTCACCAAACGTGGCGATATGTGTTCTGTGCTGGTTTTTGGCACGATTGAGTGTTGTATGGCAACCCTGTTGACGTTGAAAAATCTTTTGCTGGAGTGGTTCAATTGCTTGTTGGTTCGTGTCGTGCGTGTTTTGAAATGGCCTATGTTACAATGATAGACGTGTGGCAAGATTTCAGTCGCGTATTTTAGATTGTGTGGAAAGTAAATTTAGTATTAAAAGGTATGATGTTGGAGTTGTTAACGAGTTTTTTGTTCATGAGTGTGTTGATGAGGATTAAAGTGTATTTTTGGAATGTCTGTAGGACTTTTAAAACAGAGTCCGAAATGCGGAGCTGCTATGAGAACTCAGACGAAGAAGGGCATTTCTGATAGTTCTTGTGTGGATTTGATGTCAAATGCTTGCTGATAAAGTATGTGGCTGTCAGTGGAGTTTAAGATTTGGATTGTGGTTTTGGTGTAGTAAGTTAACTTTGGAGGAAGTTTCTATCGTTACTTTCAAAATTTTGAATCTCAGAAAGACATGTGATATAGCAAAATCATGGCACTTTTGTTCAGAGACTTCGTGTGACTGGCGAAATTTTATTCAGGAATGTATTATGGTAAGCGCATTTTATTTCACTGTTTTTATTTTGTAGAATATTATGTTCATTTTTTTTACTAATAATTTTTGTTGTTATTGTTGGTTTTTGAATTGTTTGCAATTTAGTTTAGTTTATTTGATAGATATGCGCACAATGCCTAGATTGTGCAATTCATAGATTTTTTTTTAATTTAAACAGAATGCTTGTACACGGTATTCTTTTAAATTTATTGTTATGTTAATTTATTGAAGCGAGTAGTTCGTAGATTCCTTCGCTGCCTACAATGTGCAATTCGCAGATGTTTTTTGAAGTTAAAACATATCGCTGTGTATATGGATTCTTGTCAAATATTTCTGGTTAGAAACTTTACATTTTTGCTACCTAAATTTTTTTGTTTTTGTTTCGGATTTTTAGCTTAAATTGTATCTTCAAAACGTGGTTTTTGCATATGCGAAAACCCCATTTTTGGGAACATTTTAGGCTTAAAATTCGAAATGTAGACAAAAAATTTAGGTAGTAATATGGCAACATGGAGTTTCTAGCCAAAAATGTTTGGCAAGGAATTTGGCGACCTGAGGGTGCATATAAGAGTAGTTTCAAGTTTTCTGCAGATCTCTTTTTAAAAGTGGAAATAATAACTACATCTCCGTTTACTCAAGGTACTTTATAACTTTCAGCAGAGCCTTTTATCTTTACTCTAGAAGCATTTACTTCTTTCATAAAAAGTGCAAGAAGTGAGTTCCATTGGTTGAGGAATCTAGATAAACATTTCCTTACAGATAACCAGCGTGTGCATACATATTTCAGGTTTTTTTTTTTTTTTTTTTTTCCTTATTTCAATATTATGCAGCTTTTAGACTTGTTTCAGTTTTTCCTACCTTTTCGCAATATTTCTAAGATAATAATAAATATCTACAATGTGTTCATTCTCACTTATTGGCAAAGCTGCTGACCCATTTTCAACTGCTAAATTTAAGAGATGACAGATGCATTTCATAAATTGCAAATATCCCTACCCTTTGAATCCAGTGATAGACAAAACCAGCTCTATCCTCTTTCAAGTAAGTCGCAACCAAACAAGATCCCTGCCCCTACTTACAGAAAATGATTCTGAAACACTTAATGAACTGTCATGTTGTCTTTTATCCTGAGAATAACTAGCATTAAGGTACTAAATATTCAGCTGTTGAATGAAGAAAATCCTTAACAGACAAAAAAATTCAATTTACATGAAACAGAAATTTATTAGAAAGGAAAATATTCTAGCCACTTAGATGTGACTTTATAACCTAAATTTTAAAGCTTCTGGGGGGGAAGAAGTTAAGATGGCGATAACTTGACTTATAGCGCATATAGCATACACAGTCAAATTTAGTAATACTGCTTTTACGATGTCTTAAGAATCATCTTAAACAAAAATTTATTTCAGAAAAAAAAAGTGTGTTTATATGATTACAAATCAAGTACATAAAATATATCTTATACATGGAATGCCTTAAAATGCAAAAAATCATATGTAAACATAAAAAGCAATTATTTTTCATAAAATTATATGTCATTATTTCAAAGATACATATCTACAAACATACACATCATTTATTTATTCAGCTACAGAAAAGTAAACTTTACATTTAAAATATAAAATGGCCATAAGCTCCATGTAATTTCAGCATTACACAAATTTACCTGCTTTGGTGGCACTTTGCTTTTATCTCTTGTAATACCAAACTTCAAAATATTTGTAAATGTTGGAGGTCTCCATGTAGGCCAAGGATTCTGAAATCTACCGCCAATGCATAATGATCGTTGCATATCAATTCGTCCAGGATGCACAACAGAATCTCTTTTAATCAGAGGGCACTTAGAGCTAACAGTTTTCTTTAATATAGAAGTTTTTTTACCTGGTAAAGTAGGTTTGCTAGGTAAAGTCACATTTCTAACATTAGCTTCTTCATTAAAAGCAGAAGCTTCCAACTCCAGTCCAACAGAGCGAGCAGGAATGTCGTGTCTATGACAATCATAAGTATACTTGTCAAATCCTTCGGAACAAATCATAGAACTACGACGAATAAGGTTCTTGTTATCAGTATCACTAGCATCGGTATTATTAGCCTCAGTGGGCTTCTTGAAACCAGATGGCATGACAGATTCTGAGCGTCTGAACAATCCCATTTTGGTCACCTTAGGTTTCTCATTAATGGTGACCTTTTTTGAAGTCATTTTCACATTTTTCATTAGCTGGAACAAAATAATTTATCAGGGGTCACTTAGTATATATATCAATTAATGAAATAATTAAAATATTTCAAATTAAAAAACAAAAATATATGAAAACAGTACAAAGTTCAATATCCAAAATAATCATGATTTAGGTGACTTTTAATTTTAGAAATTTCAGAATTTTAGATGAATTCAAATATAGTAAGATGACTAGAAGAGAAACACGCTAATGTAACAATCAATATCGTAAAAACAACCTTGTATTTAGCGTAAGTATATTGAAACAATCGATTTCGAGGGCAGCTAAATGTCCCTCCTCATAAGTAGAAAGAAATACCTAGAAAGAAGAAAAATAAAGGGAAGGAGTCTCAGAAACTCGTGGTCCTTATCAGCACTGCACGTGGTTATAAACGGATTTTTAATCAGAGTTACACTGGCCGCCTACTTTTACTGAGCCAGGCTATCTGATCAAACATCTAACACAAAAGACAAGGAAAAATTAGCGAAGTTAAAAATAGGGAGCGGGGGGGCATTCAAAGTTCAGATTTTGAGCGTGAAGGTGCAGTTGCCCCCCGCTCCCTATTTTTAACTTCGCTAATTTTTCCTTGTCCTTTGTGTTAGATGTTTGATCAGATAGCCTGGCTCAGTAAAAGTAGGCGGCCAGTGTAACTCTGATTAAAAATCCGTTTATAACCACGTGCAGTGCTGATAAGGACCACGAGTTTCTGAGACTCCATCCCTTTATTTTTCTTCTTTCTAGGTATTTCTTTCTCCTGATGAGGAGGGACCTTTAGCTGCCCTCGAAATCGATCGAGTGTTTCAATATACTTACGCTAAATACAAGGTTGTTTTTACGATTTTGATAATAAGATGATTTGTAGAAATCATAGAATTTAACCTATAAAGTGATTGTTTATTAAAAGATTCAGTATTTTCATGAACTTAAAGGACCCAAAGTTAAGCTCAAAATTAACATTTATTTTGCTTTATCAACAATTCTTTCAACGTAAGTTGGTTTAGGAATTTTGATTTTTATCTTATTACTTTCAATTTAGTTTTATAGTGAGACATAATTTATCATTCAGTAACAAAGTTCTGTTTTCAGGTTCTGTAACTGCACTACTGAGAATTCCCATTAAATTGAAGTCTTCATTCGCGATGCCTTCTTTGGCACTTGCCGCACAATTAGTGGCAATATTTTTTGGATTTCATACTATACTACAGATATCAACCATCAGTTAAGTGAAACGTGATTTTTAAACTCTCAATCTTTAAATTCTAAGAAATGTTAAGTTCTTAAAATGAAGAACACAGCAATGAGATGGAAATTAAAGTACCGAACACTGTATAAATAGGCTAATCCAGAACAGTGAAATCTTATAAAATAGAACGTTAGCCACCTTATGCCAAAATTGAAATCAAATGATGACAGAATTTTAATTTGAAAATCAGGATATTATTCCCTGTTAATTATAATATTTAACCCACCAGTAGGCAAGTGTCTGGAGCTAGTAACACCGGTAAGTCATCCCATATTAGCTCTTTAGGATTAAAAATGCTGTTTATATGGGGACCCTCATAAATTTATACCATAAATAAAGCCTAGTTTTTTACAGAAAGTCCTGCACAAAAGGTTTTCCTCTCCAACAGGTAGATACCCCTCTTATCATCGTTGCAATAATCATACTTTAGTAATAAAATATTATAATAAATCAATCAAATCCCAGTAATACAGGTTTTTCTGAAGTAAAGCAGTAGTTAAACTTTGGAGTATGTACAACTCGCTACCACACCTAAATTGCTTTGCTTAAATCTTTCGCAGGCACTACTCTCTCTCTGTGTACTTAGTCAAATTTAGCTCAGCTGTAAACATTCCAAACATCAACAATAATATGGTAAATCAAAATTATTATCCATACAAAGAATATTTTACTGCTAAATTGAAATCATACAGCAGAATCATGAGTTCCTTTCCTTTAAAGCTATACCACTTAGCTCTTTTTGTTTCAGAGGGATGCATTTCAATGGTACCACATCACTAGTACAATTTGGTTTTCTTCCCGGGCAAAACTGATTTCATCACTTGCACAACCATGTCTGTCCTTAAATCATTTTAATTCTTTTACCATACTGTATTTTGCTATTTACAAACATTTTATACTATATATTTATCCCTTCATTGACCCTGCTTGCGTGGTAGTGTAAAGTGGCACAATAGATGTGACACTCTCTCCTTTAATTCTATGGCCTTGAAAGAAGTTCCTGCTATGATGCACTCTTAGAGTGTAAAAGCTTCATTTCTCCACTATTAATTTTTTTAATTTATTTATTTTTTTATTGATTATATTTTCAGAGAAGAGGACTGAAACAAACTTTAACTTATCAACAGATTTTAGAAGGTGGGGAAAAAATGTTTGGATATTAATGGAAGGAACTGTTATATGCCAAAATACATCAATATTGTACCGAAAATGCATCCTACGGCTTTAACAGAGAAGTACACTATATTATGAAGCCAGTTACATTATACTATATGGTCTATAAGATTTTTGCATATAACTACTATCAGCATACATCTCATCATACAGTGAAAACCCATAATTTATGCATCTTTTCAATTAAATTTTATAAAATGCGTTGAAACTTAAAAAAAAAAAAAAAAAAAAAAAAAAAAATCTGAAAGTTTTCAGATTTTATATTATACTAAAAGGGGCTTTCTTTAACATTTTATGTTACCTTTATTTATTAAATATCATGTTCTTCGCACTTAAACTATAAAATTCAATTCAACAGCAATATCACAAAATAATTTCAAAAGAGCATATCTTTAGAACTTCCAATACACAGTATTGCATGCTGGAGATAAAAAGGCGCAGATATAATTTATTCAAATTTTGATGGCTCTAGGTACCGTTGTTTTATCACGATGCGAAAAACACACATACATTTATGCAGATTCTTCATTATTTAATTTCTTTAAATATAATACAGGGCGAAAATATTTGGTGGCAACAATTTGAAAAGTGAAATGCCATTTATAATGAAATGCCACAAAATGCCGAAACGAAATTAATAGGCCTTCTGGGCTAATGCACTTTGGGTTTAAAAAAGGCAAACCAGCCTAACATTCAGTAAGTGATATGCACGATTGTTTTTAATATCATAAACTATCAATTTTATTGTAAGTCAGCATACATTATTAACAAATCATAAAAAAGTTAAAAAGTGCAACAAATCATAAAAAAGTTAAAAAGTGCAACAAATCATAAAAAAGTGCACATAAAAAAAGTACAATTTAAAATACAAACTTTAATTATCAAATAATGATCCTCTAATCATTTTCATTCTTTTACTATATTATGCTATTTACACATAATTTACAGTACGTAATTCTTATCATTTCATTGACCCTGCTTGTGTAGTAGTGCAAAATGGCATGATAGATGCCAAAGAGACACTGCCTACTACCCTAATTTAATTGAATTCATATGGCCTTGAATGCATTCCAAAGAAAAAACGTTCTTTGTTATGCTTTAATTTTATGCCTGCAGTTAATCTTACATGACTTTTTAATGTAATATTTATTAATTAGTTTTATTTTTATTTTGTCATTTATAATACGATATATAGAACTATTTTTGAGCCATAAATAGGCTCAACAGCATAACTTAAATGAAGGTCAAAAGTTGTGAAAAATTGGTAGAATTGAGGGAAGTTAAATACAAATGGAAGCCACCCAAGATTTGAATATCCTTAAAAGTATCATATCAGGAGTATGAAGCTACTTTTCAAATACTGGATCAGTTGATAGATAGTCTGGTCAAGGGAGACCAAGAGCAATAACTGCATCAGGATGACTTGTTTTCTGTCATCGTCAGTTCAAAGAAACCATGATGCAACTACAAGAGACTTGGTTTTAGTTCAGGTTGCCCCAGGAACTCGAATTAGCCATTCTTTTGCAGCATGAAGGCTTAAAGAGACTGCACTGTATGCGAGAATGACCAATGGTTTGTGCTGCACTCATTCCAGTTTCCAGAAAGGCTCATTTAAACTGGTGCCATTATCATGTTCAACAAAGTTAAGACAACTGAGCCTGAGTAGTGTTTACTGACGAGTCCAGATCTATTCTCAACAGTGATTCTAAATGTGTTTTGATCTGGAGAGAGGAAAGAAAATGCAACTTGCCTTCCCTTGTCCATAGCATTTCCCGTTTCCACAACCGTGTTTTAATGATTTGGGAAGTAATCGTGACAAATGGCAGCACCAAGCTGCATATCTTCAAGAAGGTTCTGCAATTGCTCAAAAACATGTGGATGAGATATTGGAACCCCAAGTTAGACTGTTTAGGGATACTGTTGCCCAGAGTTTTTGCTAACTGATGATAATACTCAGCCTCATTAAGCATATGTGATGTCAGAATACTTGTAAACAGAAGATATCACTCAAACAGATTGGCCACCTTACTCACACAAACTGAACCCGTTTCAGCATGTATGGGATGCCTTAGGGTGACAAATTTCAGCATGCCAAATTCCTCCCCAGAACCTACAGGGGCTTAAAAGGGCGCTTTTTAGAAGAGTGGCATGCAATTCCACAAGACTTGATCAACACTTCGGTAAAGTATATGAAACTAAAATGTGAAGTATGCATATCTGTCCGAGGTGACCATACACCATATTTAAAAAAAAATATTCCACAAGAAGTGACTTAATTTTTTTCATCATTTTTTTAATTTTCATAAATTTGGTTTTAATTTCAATATTGCACAAGTAATCAACTGCCAAACATTGTAATTTATGTTAACTAATGTTTTTGGACAAATTTCTATTGAACAATTTTTATTTGTATCAGTTACATTTTATTTCTGTCATTATCCTTTAATTTTCATGACCAGTGCATAATATATTCTATAAGATATTTACATATAATTATTATAAGTATACACATCATCATACAGTTAAAAGCCAAGAATCACACACATTTTCAATTAAATTTTATAGCATGCACTTCAAAAATAATAAATACAATTTTTTAAAAAAATGGCAAACCAG